AATTAATCTATTTTGAATGAAATCTCTTAATCAGGAGGTATACTAAATTATTCTCTAAAAATCTTCACTTAAAACTGGTATATCTATTGATTTGTCACTTGGATAACCAATATTAATAGGTTCATCTAATAGTAAAGTTGAAATGTTTGATATTTTAAACATCGAAATATTATATTAATAAATTAATATTATATTTACATTTTCATTACCCTCCTTTTTTTTGTCATTTTTTTAAATTTTTTTTTTTTTTTTTTATTTTTATTTTTTAATTTTTATTTTTTATTTTTTTAATTTTTTAATTTTTATCGTGATTGAAAATGGATTGTAATAAAAAAGAAAAAAAAGATTTAGAGAACAATAACACCAATAATAATATTAATAATAATAATAATAATAATAATGATAGTTTAAAATCATATAAAAGTACTGATAGTTCAGAATTTGATTGTAATAATACACCATCAAATACACCGAGTTTGGTTTTTACATCAAATAAAGATACTAATAGCGGTGAAACTGTATTCTGGAAGGTATTTAGAAATAAATTTTTATTCAAATTAATATTTTCAAATTTCAAATTCAAAGAGTTTTTCAGCTATGATGATTTAATTGATCCATATTATATTTTTGACAAATTTAGTAATGGAGATGCTATTATTAGAGATAAAGTAAAAAGTGGAAATTATGTATTTAGAGATTTTAATGATGTAGAATTGGTCATTAGGAGATTCACCAAAGATACCAAAGAGAACAGAGAATTCTATAGACAACTATTTTCAACAAATAAATACCACAACAAAAATGATAACAACAATTTCAGCAACTATTCATTCTGGGTACAAGTATTTACAAATGAAACTAATAAAACCGCATTTCTCGAATACAATAAACTTTTTCAAATAGATAAAAGAAATATTTCAGTAAATTTAATTAATGAGAAACGTTTAAAAAAGAAGAACTTAAAACTTTTAAAGATGAAACCTTTTTTAGAATCAAATGGAGTTACAGTTACTAGATCGTTATCAATATATGATGCTATTAAAGAGTTTCAATACCCATATAAATGCAAAGAGCTCATAAAAATTTACAAGTTTATTATCGCTGAAAACTACAGACCAAAAGAAAAATACAACGATATAGTACAACAACTAAATCACCAATTAAAAATAAATCAATTTAATACTATACAATTAAAAACAACTATTCATAACATATCGCTATCAGATGATCAATATTTAAACCAATAATCCTCGACATCTCAAAGTACTATATTCAATTTATAAATTAAAATTCAATGATTCAAATCTATCTAAACCAATTGAATACTATTTATACTTTAAAGAAGGGTCAAGAGTCCAACAAGCTTTTACAAAAAGAAATTTAAATAAAAGAGAATATGAATACGTATACAATGATTATCTATACACAATTATAAATAGTGACTGTTGCATTGAATATAAAAAAGACCTAATTGAAGCAGTATCACACATGGATGATATAGATAAAATTTATATTGAAGAGGCCGTTTTTTCAAGCAATAATTTAGAACTAATCGATCTTATGTTCAAGCATTTCGAAGACCCATGTTATGATCAAGAATATCAAGCTATGATTACAAAAACCGAGGTATTAGACTACTTTTTCAATAATCATCAAGAATTAATGTTTAGTGACAATAATCCACTTTGGGTGTACGCCGACAAAAAAGTTATGGGCCATTTTGAAGAATTAATGAAGAGTATTTCAAGAAAGTTTTTTATTGAATTGAACCCAGAAGACATAGAAGATACTCCAATTAATGATATTTTCGAAAGATTAGAAAGAGCACTCAACAATCCAACACTTTATACATTTGAAAGCAACGAAGATTATCCCACAAACTCTATTAATAGATATAAATCGTATTTTTTTGAAAATTTTGATTATCCTACACAGGATTCCGCAATATCAATGTTAGAAAAGCATATAGAAAAATATGGCATTTCAGAATACTTTGATATTGAAATAATTTTAAACAAAACAGAACTCTATAACTACTGTAAATTCATATACTGGATCTTTCAAGACCTTTCAGATCAATACATTCAATCAAACATATCAAATGAGGAGTTAACAATTAAATCAGGTATAAATACAACAAATAATCAAAAGTATGAAATTAAAATCAAACGCTTTACTAGTTGGGAAGTTCTTTTATTCTATTGTGGTCGTACAAATATTTTATATCAAAACTTAAATTCAAATTCACAGTTAATGGAACATTTATTCACATACCTAAATATGAATAAAAAATTTAGAGTCAGTTTATTTTTAAATTTATTTGACCATTTATCAAAAACAGATTTAAAAACTGTATTTGTTAGGGAAATATTATTAAAAGCAGCAGATAATGGTTTATTTCCAATTTTCAAAAACCTTTTAGCCAAACACGAGTATTTATATTATGAACAAAGCGATGGCCTTTCAATAATAAACATTGATCATTTTCGTACTCTCCAATTAAAATGTATTGTCGGTGAACTCGGCTTTTTATCTAAATATTACAGATGTGGCTGATAATAATTAATTTCAAAACAATCTAATAAATTGTAAACAAACATATTTAATTTTTTTTTAAATATATTAATAATATTTTTGTGGTGTTTGTGTGGGTGACTGTTTTTATTTTATTTAAAAATCAATTTGAATTAAGAACCAACCAATAGTATTTATATTTTATTAATATTTCATTTAAAAATAATTTTAGTTGATAAAATTATTTATTTTATTTTTATTTTTAAATATTTTTTTTTTTTATTGTTTTATTTTTGATTTTATTTTTAATATTTTTATTTTAGTTGATAAAATTATTTATTTTATTTTTATTTTTTAAATATTTTTTTTTTTTTTTATTGTTTTATTTTTGTTTTTATTTTTTTATTTTTTAATTTTTAATTTTTAATTAAAAATGGATTTAGAGAACAATAACACCAATAATAATACCAATAACAATAATAATAATAATAATAATAATAATAATAATAATAATAATAATAATAATAATAATAATAATAATAATAATAATAATAATAATAATAATAATAATAATAATAGTTTAAAATCATATAAAAAACATAAAAGTACTGATAGTTCAGAATTTGATTGTAATAATACATCATCAAATACACCGAGTTTGGTTTTTACATCAAATAAAGATACTAATAGCTGTGAAACTGTATTCTGGAAGGTATTTAGAAATAAATTTTTATTCAAATTAATATTTTCAAATTTCAAATTCAAAGAGTTATTCAGCTATGATGATTTAATTGATCCATATTATATTTTTGACAAATTTAGTAATGGAGATGCTATTATTAGAGATAAAGTAAAAAGTGGAAATTATGTATTTAGAGATTTTAATGATGTAGAATTGGTCATTAGGAGATTCACCAAAGATACCAAAGAGAACAGAGAATTCTATAGACAACTATTTTCAACAAATAAATACCACAACAAAAATGATAACAACAATTTCAGCAACTATTCATTCTGGGTACAAGTATTTACAAATGAAATTAATAAAACCGCATTTCTCGAATACAATAAACTTTTTCAAATAGATAAAAGAAATATTTCAGTAAAATTAATTAAAAAGATCGGTATTGGCAATAAGAACTTAAAACTTTTAAAGATGAAAACTTTTTTACAATCAAATGGAGTTACAGTTACTGAATCGTTATCAATATATAATGTTATTTATGAGTTTAACTATTCGCACCAATTCAAAGAGCTCATAAAAATTTACAAGTTTATTATCGCTGAAAACTACAGACCAAAAGAAAAACACAACGATATAGCACAACAACTAAATCACCAATTAGAAATAAATCAATTTAATACTATACAATTAAAATCAACTATTCATACCATATCGCTATCAAATGATCAATATTTAAAACCAATAATCCACAACATACTCAAAGTACTATATTCAATTTATAAATTAAAATTCAAAGATTCAACTCGATTTAAACCAATTAACTATTATATATATTTTAAAGAAAAGTCTAGAGCCGAACAAGTTTTTATAAATAGAAAATTAAATAAATACAAACACTATAGAGATCTATTCACAGTTATAAATAGTGACGGTTGCATTGAATATCAAAAAAACCTAGTTAAATCAGAAACCATAAGTAATCCTCATAGGAGGTATTTGTTTGAGGCCGTTTTTTCAAGCAATAATTTAGAACTAATCGATCTCATGCTCAAGCATTTAGGAATCCAATACTGTCATTTTATTAAATATCTAAAGTTAATTACAAAAACCGAGATATTGGACTACTTTTTCAACAACCATAAGGAATTAATGTTTAGTGACAATAATCCACTTTGGATGAACACCGACAGCAAAGTTATTGACCATTTTGAACACCTAATGAAGAGTATTTCAAGAAAGTTTTTAATTAAGTTGAAACCATTGTCTCCAATTAAAGATATTTTCGAAAGATTAGAAAGAGCACTCAACAATCCAACACTTTATACATTCGAAAGCAACGAAGATTATCCCACAAACTCTATTAATAGATATAATAAATATATAGTTTATGGTTTGTGTGATGGGGCGCAGGATTCAGTTATATCAATCCTCGAAAAGCATATAAAAGTATATGGTGGCACAGAATACTTTGATATTGGTTTAGTTATAAAGGGAACAACATTCCAAAACAACTATAAATTCATATACTGGATCTTTCAAGACCTTTCAGACCAATATATTCAATCAAAAATATTACAAAAAGGATTTACAATTAAATCAGGTATAACGAATAATCAAAAGTATGAAATTAAAATCAAAAGCATTTATCGTTGGGAATTACTTTTATACCAATGTGGTCGTTCAAACACTTTATTCCAATTCATTATTTCAAAATCTTGGTTAAAAGAGCTTGTATTAAAGAATCTAGTCAAAAATGTAAGAGTAGGTGTTTTTTCAAATTTACTTGACCATTTACCAGAATCAGATTTCGAAAGTGAATATTTTAACGAATTATTGATAACAGCAGCAAAAAATGGTTTAATTCCAATTTTCAAAACCATTTCCACCAAAAATGAATATTTGTATTTTTCAACAAACGATAAAAGGTCTCATCCAATAATAAACACTGATCATTTTCATTTTCTCCGATCAAGATGTAGCATTGGTGATCTTAGCTTTTTATTAAAATATTTTAAACTATAAAAAAAATCAATATATCAAAAGTATCGATTATAATTCTATTGGATCTTTTATTGCTTCAAGTTTTTCTCTTGTTCCTAAAAATATCAAATTTATTTAAGGGTTTATTATTATTATGTGTTATATTTAATTAAAATAAAAATTTTGTTTTTTTATTAAATTTAATTATTTTATTATTTTATTATTTTTAATTAAGTTGTAATAAACATCTTGATTTTTTAGTTTGATAAAATTTAAATTGCAGATAGTTTTTGTAAAATTTTCATCTGAATTGTTTAAAATTTGATACGAGTCGTTGTCAAGGTAAATTTTTAATTTAGCTGGTATTTTTGGATTGTTTATTTTAAAATATTCACATTTTTTTAATATTAAATGTTGAAGATGTGGGAATGATGCTACGAATCTATTGTTGATTTTAAAATTATAACAATTGGAGATTTCAAGTATTTGGAGTGATGAAGGAAATTGATTTATTGTGAGCTGGTCTTGACACTTTATTTGTAAAGCTATTAATCTGATCGGATATTTGATCTTTGTTTTTTTCATAGTTTTAAATGATAATGCTTTTAAGGATGGAGTTATTGATTGAAAATCCATTGTATGATTTGTATAGTAGTCAGAGCTTTCGGGTGTATCTAAAAATAATAGATTTGTTAATGATGGAGGGAGTGATAGATGATTATCAATCATTGGATATATTTCGAGATCTTGAATAGAATAGTGATTATAATTAAATACCAATGATCTTGGACAATTAATGAGCCTAAGTTTAACAAGAGAGCCATTGTCCGGAAGCAGTTCATCCATTGTAATTTGGTTTATTCTATGTAACAATAGTTCTGTTATGGAGCCGGGTAATCTTTTTTGACCTAATAGCTCTTGATTATCTGATAAGTGTAATGCCTGTATTGTATCTGGTATAAAATCAGTACCTAGAAAGAAAATTTGGTCATTTCTCTTTGAGTAATAATACAAATTGGTTATTGATGTTGGTATGTATGATATGATTTGACTGGATGGTATCTCTAGAGAGGTGCAGCTTTGTGGAATAATTTCGCTAATATCTTGGTTTACACAATTTATTTTAAGAGTCTTAACTGTATTCGGTATTACATTCTTCCCTATGATTTTATTATATTCACCTATTGATAAATAGGTCAGTACATGTGGAAATACACCAGGCTCTAAGAGATGGCTATGCGAACTACCAATATCTAGATGAACCAATGAATTTGGCAATACTCCAGGATGTATAGGTTGGTTATATTCCTGAGGTAGTGCTAAATGCTTTAGGCCATCTGGTAAAGTTCCAACTTTAATTTCCTCATCAAAAGAACCACAAATAACAAGCTCTTCTAAATTAATACCATGAATAAGCTGCTGGATACTGCTGGTTAAAATAGCAGATTCTAAACTGAGACTCTTTAAGGATTTTGGCAATTTTAAATCTATTTTATGATTGCTGTTAGGTATAAATGAAAAAGATTCGACACCTTCTGGAACCATAATACTTGAACTATTATTTGGTTTACTATAATATATTGAGAATATATTTATTGTCTTTATATTTGATGGTATATTTTCTAAACACCAATCATTTGAAAAGCAAAAAATTGTAATATCTTCTATGTATTCTTTATAATTGTACTTTTCTAGTTCTTCATAACTATTGAAAATCATATATTTATTAAAGTTGTATATCCCTACATGCTCTTTAATTTTATTATTTATATATTTATTTCGATAGGTTTTAAAAAACAATTCATCCATAAAAAAAAAAAAATGAAATGAAATTAAAAAAAAATTAAACAAAAGAAATTAAAAAAAAAAAATAAAAAAAAAAAAAATTATTGAATAAAGTTAAAGTATTTTATTTATTAATTTTGAGAAAACATTAATTTTGTTAAATTGATGGAAATTTAAAATATTTTTAAAGTTGAAAAGGACATCAACTAAACATACACAGTCATCTTCATTTTGGGAAAATAATGACTTTATATATTTTCTATTTAGGTCGTTTGTATATAATGTGAGATTTGAAGCGGATCCGAAATTATTGATTGTATAGGGCACACCTTTTGCAAAATAATCTATTAATATTAAATGCTCTAGTGATGGTAATGATAATAACAATGTATCGTTGATATGAAATGATGGTGTTTTGTGGTTTTTAAAGTCACTGTCTATTTGCAATATTTCTAATGTTGGGGGCAAATCAAATAATTTTAAAAGTTCTCGATAACTCTTGAATTTCAAAGCTTTTAAACAATTTGGAAAAGTTATATTAAAACTGCCAACACATGAAAACACTAGTACTTTAAGTAAGGGGCATATTCTCTTTAGATCTATATCTATTTGCTTGAATCTAAAATCAACAATCTCTAATTTTGTTAAATAGGAGGGAAGTGTTGAATATTCATAAAGCATTGGTATAATTTTTAGATCTGTTATTGAACTATTATTTTCTGTAAGTTTGAAATCCACCACATTTTTATTATAAATAGACAACTTTTTAATATTTTTATAGCCTGCTATATAGTCTACAGTCTCTTGATCTAACCAATATAATGATAGTTTTGAATGTGAATCAGAAATACAGGAGTATATATTATTAGTAACGTTATTATCATTATCATTATAACTATTACTAGCTTTTCTTATTAGACTTGTTGCTTTTAATGATTTTGGTGATATTTTATTTTGAATATAGGTACCCTCGTAACTGATATCTAAGGTTTTAATATTTGTAATTGATTTTGGCAATGTTGATATCTTTTGTCTATATAGATATGTTAATGTTGTACAATTAGGTGGTATTATTTTAGAAAGATCTTGATTGTAGATTGATTTTATTTTCAAAGTTTCAACGGTTTCCGGTACCACTCCATCTAAAATAACAGCATCGGACGTGTTGACGGATAAATAGGTTAGTCCATGTGGAAAAATATTTGGTTTTAAAATAGTATATCTTAAATTTGAAATATTAAGAGAAACCTTTTTTATTGATGGTGGAAGAGGTAAAAAGTTTTCTGGTTTGGTGAGCGTTGATGTAATTTTTAAAACTTTTAAAGATTTAGGTAGATCTCCAAATTGGAGTTGGACATCATTTGATGGATAAATCTTTAATTCTTCTAAAAACTCTGGTAAAATGCCATCAAAACTATTATATACTTTACAACCCACTATGGACAGTTTCTTTAATGACAGCGGTAGCTTTAGTTTATTGGCATGCAACAAAACATTATATATAAAATATAATGACTCTACTCCTTCACTTATGACCAACTGTTTCTTTAAGGGTTGATCATCATCTATAAAGTACGTCCTGTTGTCTTTATTTGAATTTTGATTGTTTTTGAAATAAATGGTTTTAAAATTTGATGGAATAATTAAATCATCCAATTCCTCATTACCATTATAAACTATATTAACATTTAAATAATTTGATTTTGAATTATTTAATTTTAAGGATTTTGGAGTAGTTGAGAGATGTTGATAATATCTTAATTTTTTTAGTTGATAAAATAATTCTCTTTTAATAACTATATTTCTAAATAAAATTAAAAACAAATCCATTTTTATAAAAATTGATAATAAAAAAAAAAAAGAAATTAAGGAAAAATCCAAAAAAAAATCAAATTTTTTTTAAAAAAAAAAAAAAAAAATTTAGATTTAAATTTTATTATTCTTTATTATTATAATTTTTATATATCGAGAATCCTTTTGTTTTTCATTAAATTATAAAAAGTTAAATTTGATTTAATATTTTTATTAATTTTTAAATTATTAATCAATGTCAATTTAATTGATATTTAAATGAAAAATTTATAGGTTTTCTTGGTTGGTGAGTTTTATATAATAATTATCTAAAACAATTAAATGTTTTGTGATGAAAACCAATCAAACCATTTATTATCAATGTTGATTCCGAATCCAACTAAATCCAAAACCTGTTATAATGATATGCTTCTAAATTTTTTACATATATAATTGAAAGAGATAGAAGAAGTCTGGGAAAGAATCTTTAAACATAGATAGGTCAAAGATGGTGAGCTTATTATTATTATTGTTTTTTTTATTTCAATCTACCTTTATTCGGTAAGTGTGTTTAGTATTGTTGAAATTTCTTGTTCTGGGTGTATAATTAATTTTCTTAAACTTGGTGAAATGATATCGCTTATATCATGTCCTCTATTATTAGAGTATTGTGTAGCACATCTTTTACATATTCGCACTTTGAGACCGATAAATGAGCCAAGCTATGAAGAAGCAAATTTGGCACCAATATTTGATTAGAGTCTTATTCTTTATAAAGTTTTCCTAGTTTTAGCCCTTTGAGTGAAGAAGGAAATTTTCCTAATGCTAATGGACAATTAAATTTTTGGCCAACACTAGAAGAACCCAAGTTGGATAAAAGATGATGAAGATTATTAAACTGTACTTTATAATATTAATATTTATCTAAATGTTCTTTTATAATTGATCTAATAAAATTATTTGAATACATCCAAAATATAAAAAATTTTATTAGAAATAACAAAAAAAAAATAAATAAAAAAAAGATATTTTTTAATTATTATAATTGTGAAAAAAAAAATTTTATAATCATTTTTTGTTTATGATATTTAGAATTAATATTTCGATTAGTTTTAAAGTTTGAAAAAATAAATGGTTATTAAAGAGTTTAAGAAATCATTTTAAAAATCAAAATGAAATTTCACCAAAGTGTTAATATAAGTGTGAACAAAAAAAAAAGAAGACTGGGATTTGTTTATGGTATTGTGTTGACATAAAAATAATTTTATCTCAATCTATTAATTTTTATTTGGTATTTGAAAATAATTTTCAAAAAAATAAAATATTTGATAATTTCATTTTTTTTTTATTTTTTTTTTTGTTTTATTTTCTTTTTTTTTTCTTTTCTTGTTTTCTTTTTTTTTAAATAATTTTTTTTTATTTTTTTTTATATTTTTTATTTTTTTTTATTTTTTTTATTTTTTTTATTTTTTTATTTTTTTTGAAATTTAATTAAATTTTTTTTAATTTTGATTTTTTTGACACTTTGTTTGCAGAATGAAATTTAAACAATTGACCAATATATCGTCATTAGGGTGTACAAAAAATAACTTTCAAATATAGAATGAACAAAAGAATATTTTGATAGGCCTGGTAAGTAAAATAAATATTAATTTTAAATATTAATTAAATTAATTGTTGTTAAATTAATCATAATTTTGATATATTTATTTTTTTATTTTTTTTTATTATTTGTAAATTTAATTTCAACTCTTTTAAGTAAGTGGTTATCAATAAAAATAATGTATATTCCCAATATAATATAAAAAAAATTTATTTTTAGTGTTAATAGTGTTTATTTTATTTACTTTTCCCCCTTTTCCCCACACAATGTATTGATTTGGGAGTGGAATTTTTGAAAAATAATTCAAAAAAAAAAAATTTTAATTTTTTTTTTTTTTACTTTTTTTTTTTCTAAATTTCAATTTTTTGTAATCACGATAACACTGTGGCTAATATATTTATTTTTTAAAAATTTTTTTTAAAAAAAAAATTTTAAAAAATCAAAAAAAAAAAAAACAACTATTTTTTGATATAAAAATACCAGTGGTGTCGGTTTACATATTATTTTACAATTTTATCAAACAATCCATACAAATATTCACATATACACACATTTATTTCTCTGTAAGTTTAAATTTAAACAAATAAAATATAGTTTAAACAGATATAAAAAAGCAAAAAAAAACCACCTATTCACACACACACACAATAAAAAAATAAAAAAAATAAAAAAAAAATAAAAAAAATATTTACTAGATAACTTTTTATTAATATATAATAATTTATTTATTTTTTAATATTTTGTTTGTATTTGTCATATATTATTATTATTTCATTTGTTTCAGACATATCACACTATTTTTATTCTTTATTCTTAAAAGTGCATATTTGTTTCATTATTTATATTAATAACTGCTTTTTAATTTAACATTTTTAAAAAGAATACTAATTTTTCTTTTTTCTATTTTTTTTTCCTTCTTTGTTTTTTTTTTATTTATTTATTTATTTATTTTATTTTGTTTTATTTATATCAAAAACTATATTAAATAAATAATTTAAAAAAAAATTTTAAAATTTTAAAAAAAAAATATATTAATTTTTTATTTTAAATTTTAAATTAAATAATTATAATAATTAATTAAACACATTCAGAAACTTTAATATATAATTTTCAATTTATTTTTTAAAATAATTTATAATAAATAGTTTTTTATTTTTTTTTTCAAATTAATAGTTTATAATAAAACATAATAGTTTTTATAATAATAAATAATAATAATATTCAAAGATTTTTTTTTTATATAATAGTTAATTTAATATAATATAATATAATATAATAATAATAATAATAATAATAAAATGATGTCAACAACAAAAGCCATTAGAATAATGAATAGCTATAATAAATGTAATTTTAAAACCAATACTGCAACAGTATTATCTCAACAACCATATAATGTAATTAATAAAAGATATAATTCAACATTAAATTCCGCAAAAAAAGGCAATAACTCCAGTCTTTTAAACTCTACTACAGTAATCACCGAACCAACCATTTCAATTACCAATAAGCCAGCAGCAGATTTCACTACTATGGATACTCATATTACACGTTCATCGATTGCTGGTATTCCAGTACCAACTTTATTAGATGAAAATCAAACATTACACCAACAAAACGAATATCAAGATACTCCACCTACTACCAGTAATAGCAATAAAAATAATAATAACAAATATGATTTAGATACTTCAAAACTTTATGTCTCAAAAACTACAAATGAACTCTTATTTACATATTTAATATTAAAGGCATGTTCATTCCCAATAATTTCAAATAATGGTCAATTTTTATTTGATCTCTCTAAAAAGTAAGTATTTTTAAAATTGTTTTTTAAATTATTTTTTAATTTTAAAATTCGATTACTAATAAAATTTAATTTAATTTATAATTATAGATTAGGATTATCATTACCAGTAAATTTCTTTGTTAAACATACATTTTTTAAACAATTTTGTGCTGGTGAAACTATTAAAGAAACAGAGACATTTTCAAAGAAATTAAATAAATTGGGTATTGGTTCAATTTTAGATTATAGCATTGAAGAATCAGATATCGATGGTAGTGGATATGACAGTGTTGCCAACGTTATAATAGAAACAGTAAAGATTGCAGCACAAAACCCCACATTATCATTTTCATGCGTTAAATTCACAGGTTTAGTTTCTCCGAGCATTTTAGAAAGATTAAATCAATTAGTTTCTTCTGTTAGCGTAGATGTCACTAATTTACCGGAGGTCGCAATTAAAAATCCAATCCAATTTTATAAAGATATTTTAGCTAGCAATAGTGAATTTAAATCAATTTATACATCAGATGAAATTCGTCAATTAGAAGAATTTGTAAATAGAGCAGAGAGAATTTTCATTGAATGTAATAAATACGGTGTACCAATCCTTTTAGATGCTGAACAATCCTATTATCAAGTTGCTATTCATCAATTAGCTATGGCATTCTCCTATAAATACAACCGTGAAAAGCCAATCATTTACAACACCTATCAAATGTACTTGGTTCAAGGTATGGACATTTTAAAACAACATTTAGAAATGTCAAAGAAATTAAACTTTAAATTGGGTGCAAAGATTGTACGTGGTGCCTATATGGTTACTGAAAGTGAACGTGCTAATAAATTACATTATGAAAATCCAATTCAACCAACTCTTCAAGATACCCATAACAACTATAATGGCGCTGTAGATTTCCTCTTAAGAGAGATTAGAAATGACAAAGATTCAATGGGTTTAATGATTGCTTCACATAATGAGGACTCTGTAAAGTTAGGAACACGTTTAATTAAAGAATACGGAATTGATCCATCCAATCCAAATGTACAATTTGGTCAACTCTTTGGAATGGCTGATTTCTTAACAAACTCTATTGTTGCTCAAAAACAAAGAGTCTTTAAATACGTTCCATTTGGTCCTGTAAATGAAGTATTGCCATACTTGGTTAGAAGAATGCACGAAAATAAAGGTTTTGTAGGTAGTAATAGTGAAAAAGAACTCTATTATCTCAAAAAAGAAATTTCAAGAAGAATTTTTGGTTCAAAATAAATTATAGAAATCTTTATTTTTTTTTTTAAATATATATAAAAGTAATTACAATAATATAATCAATAATCAATAATAAAATATAATAATATAAAAAAAGAAAATTAACAAAAAAATTAAAAAATATAAAAGTTTAAAAAAAAATAAAAAATAAAAGAACTTATACAAAGATAATTTTAGATTTTTTTTTTTTCATTTATTTGTTTATTAGAATTTTTTTTTTTAATTGGTTAAAATTTCATCGGTTAAAGATATAATTGTGTAGTTAGAATAATGCAAAGATAAATAGGGTTTTTTTTTCTATTTATGAATTTTTGTAAATATTTCAAGTTAATATAATTTTTTTTTTTTTTTTTTTTTTTTTTTTTTTTTAATTTTAATTTTTTTAATTTTTTTTTTTTTTTAATATTTCATTTTTTTATTTTCCAAATTTTTTTAAAAATAAAATATTTTTTTATATATTTATTTATTTATTTCTTTAATTTATTAAATTCAAAAATAATAAAAGTAATAATAGTATAGTTAAATATTAATTATTTAAATTAAAAAATAATAATTTAATTAATTAAATTATTTTTTTTTTTTAAAATTTATATAAATAAAATATGGATGATTACGATAAAAAAAGAAAATTAGATAATAATGGTGTAGACAGATATAAACATGAAAGAGATAGAGAATATAGCAGGCGTAATTCAGGAAATTATGATGAGAAATATTCGTCATCAAGAAGAGACGATAGAAGGCATGATGACAGGTATGACGATAGAAGGTACGATGACAGAGAAAGAAGAAGAGATGATAGAAGATATGACGATCGTGATAGAAGATATGACGACAGAGATAGAAATAGAGACTATGAGAGAAGAGATGAAAGAGATAGAAATAGAGATGACAGAGATAGAAACTTTGACAAAAAAGAACAACCATCATCATCACCTCCATCATCAAATAATGGCAGTTTAGATTTACAACAGCAACATTTAAAACAACAATTAAAACAACAACAACAACAACAACAACAACAGCAAAATTCACAACCACAAACAACTACAAAGTCATCGAGATTTGATCAAAAACCAGATACTATTAATATACAGCAACAAAAACAACAACCGATTTATCAACCAGTTCAAAAGTTTGCAACATCTCCAATTCAATTCCAGCAACCACAACAGATTAAATATACAACATCTCCAATTCAGTTCCAACAAACACAACCTCAACAAACACAACAATTCTTTAAACCAGCACCACAGTTTTTACAACAAAGTCATCACCAAGCACCAATTCAGTTTCAACAGGCACCACAAACAACACCAGTGCAGGCTATTGATCCAGAAAAGTTAAAAAAAGAAAGAGAAAAAGAACAAGAGCAGTTAGAAGAAGAGATGAGAAAGAGAAGAGAAAAGGTCGAACAGTGGAGAAAATTAAAAGAGTCACAATCGACCGGTACACCGATAACAACAACTTCCACTACATCATCATCGTCGACATCAACATCAAATTCATCATCAACCATAATAACAGCACCAATTAACTCAATTATTGAACCAAAAAAAAAATGGAGCTTAGAGGAAGAGGAAGAAATACCACAGCCATTACAAAAACCAGAGGATTTGAAAAAAGAAGGCGAAGAGGAGGTAGATAATGACGATGTTGACACATTGGATGCATTTATGGAAAATTTAACTGAAGAGAAATTTAAATCAAAACCAAAATCAAAGTTAATCGATGAAGAAGAGTTAGAGGAAGAGTCTGAAGGTGAGGATGATAAAGATAAGGTTGTTAAAAAAGGGAAAAAAGAAATGTTGCAAACTGATCATAGTAAAGTTAATTACCAGCCATTTACCAAAAATTTTTATGTAGAGGTCCCCATTTTAGCAAATATGACAGATACGGAGGTGTTAGATTTTCGTTCAGAGTTGGGTGTTAAAATTACAGGTAAAAATTGTCCAAAGCCAATTCAATCATGGTCACAAGCAGGTTTAACAGAAAAGATTCATTTAATGCTCAAAAAATTCCAATATGAAAAACCAACACCAATCCAATCACAAACAATTCCAGCCATTATGAGTGGTCGTGATTTAATAGGTATAGCAAGAACTGGTTCAGGCAAAACTTTAGCATTTCTTTTACCAATGTTCCGTCATATTTTAGCACAACCCAAAACTGTACCAGGCGATGGTATGATTGGTTTAATCATGTCACCAACCCGTGAATTGGCACTTCAAATTTTTAGTGAATGTAAAAAATTCACAAAGAATCTTGGTTTACGTGTTGCTTGTATTTATGGTGGTGCTAGTATTAGTGAACAGATTGCCGATCTTAAAAGAGGTGCCGATATTGTAGTTTGCACACCAGGTCGTATGATTGATATTCTATGTGCAAATAATAGACGTATTACAAATTTAAGACGTGTTACCTTTTTGGTTTTAGATGAAGCCGATCGTATGTTTGATATGGGTTTTGGGCCTCAAATTATGTGTGTTATTGACAACATTAGACCTGACCGTCAAACAATTATGTTTTCTGCCACTTTTCCACCTAAAGTCGAAAATGCTGCTAAAAAAATACTCACCAAACCACTTGAAATTATCGCAGGTGGTCGTAGTATTGTATCATCAGATATCGATCAACACGTAGAAGTTAGACCAAGCGAAACTCGTTTCAGACGTCTCATTGAACTATTATCGCTTTGGTATCATAAAGGTCAAATTTTAATTTTTACAAATCGTCAAGAGACTACCGATAATCTTTTCCGTCAATTGGCAAGCTCACAATATCAGTGTTTGTCACTTCATGGAAGCAAAGATCAAACCGATCGTGATGAAACCATTACCGACTTTAAGAATAAGGTTAAAACTATATTAATTGCAACTCCACTTGCTTCAAGAGGTCTAGATATTAAGGATTTAAATTTGGTTGTAAATTTTGATTGTCCAGATCATTTAGAAGATTATGTTCACAGAGTAGGCAGAACTGGTAGAGCTGGAAATAAAGGTACTGCATACACATTTATAACTCCCGAGGAAGAAAGATATTCACCAAGTATCATTAAAGCTTTAGAGCAATCAGGTTCTAAAGTTCCAGACGAATTAAAAAAATTAAATGAATCTTATGATAGAAAAAGAAAAGAGGGTAAAGAGGTATTGCTTGCTCCAACAGGTTTTACTGGTAGAGGTCATAAATTTGATGCTGCTGAAGAAAATAAAAAGAATATTGAAAGAAAACAACAAAAAGCTCATTATGGTATTGACGATGAAGAAGAGGAAGAAAAAGAACCATTACCAGTTGATTCACCAACTAATGTATCACCAACAACCACAACAACCACTGGTGCAGCTAATAATAGTACTGCTACACCAACAGCATCTGCTACAACATCAACAACTGCAACAACAACAGGCGGAGTTATACCACCACCACTTGCTTCAGATCCATCATTACCAGTTGGTCAACAAGCTATAAATCAAATTCTTGGTGCAACTCAAGTGACATCATCTGAAGATGCAATTAAGGCCGCCCAATTAGCAGCCTCATTAGGTATGAAGCCAGTTATTAAACCAATTCATCCATCTATTCCATTAAATATATCACATTTCATTGAAGAATTAGAAATTAATGATTATTCACAACAAGCTCGTTGGAAAGTTACTCACAAGGTATGTATTTATTTAATTTTTATATAAAATAATTAATTTGATAATTAATATTTTTTTTTTCTTTTTTCTATTTAGGATGCTTTACTTGAAATTACCAATCTTACAAATACAACTGTTACCACCAAAGGAACTTTCTTCCCACCAAATAAAATACCGGGTCCAAATGAAAGAAAACTTTATTTATATATCGAAGGTCCAACCGACTCTTCGGTTAAAAGTGCAAAAACTGATATTAAAAAGATTCTTGATGAAGTCCAAGCCACTCACCAACAAACTGGAAAGTATTCAGTTTTTTAATAAAATCAACATAAAATTTTACATTAAAAATAATTTTTTTTTTTTTTTTAATCTTTTAAAAATTATAACAATAAAATGAAATATAAGTTTTTTATTTATTTATTATTTAATATTTTGGATTTATTTATTTTATTATTTTACATTAACCATCGCGAAATTTGTTTTTCTTTTTAACTCTCTAATAATTCTTTTTTCTCTATTTTCTTCTTTTCTCTTTTCATTTAGTTTATCTTTCTCCATTTCTCTTTTCTTTTCTCTGACCTTTTCTAAATCTTTTTCGATATAAACTCTTCTCTCCATTTCTCTTTGTTCCAATAATATTTTTTTTTGTAGTTTTCTTTCTAATTCTAATTGTTTTTTTGTAACTTTCTTTTTTTTAGTTAAAATATTATTACTATTGTTAATATTGGTAATATTATTATTAATGTTATTATTAATGTTATTATTAATGTTATTATTAATATTATTATCAATATTATTAATAGCATTAGTGTTGTTATTATTAATATTATTATTATTATTATTATTTTTATTATTATTATTATTATTTTCAGTTTTATTGTTTATGTTGGTATCTTTATTTAATGTTTCATTTTTATCTTCACTTTTATTAATATTATTATTGGAAATTGGTGGAGATGGGATTGATGACTGAGAGTTTGGTGCGAATATTTGAGAAAATGGTTGTGGTTGGTTAAGAGGGATTGCATTATTATGTACATAGTATGGATATGGAACACCAGGATAATAAAATAGTGGTGGATAAAATGGTACAAAGGTATTTGTATTTATTGGGCTCTTGGCGATAAAACTACTTTTAATGTAATCATTATTGATATTATAATTGTAGCTATTATTATTATTAAAATTATGATATTGCATTTGATTTAAATAAAAGTTATTATAGTAATTAATATTATTATCAAATGGTACAAATTGAATATTTTGATTTACATTGGCAGTATTTTGGTCATTTGGTATAAATATAGAGTTATTGTTTATAATATTATTAGTATTATTAGTATTAGTGTTGTTAATATTATTATCGATATTGTTGTTAGAGGTTATTTTGGAGCCTGACTCGCTTTCGGTATCACTTTGGTCATTATCGGAATCGCTTTCTTCGCAGTTTTTAGTTTGGTTTGTGGTTTTTGTTTCGGTATAGAGTTGGTTTGAATTATTAGTATTGTTGTTGGTGTTGTTATTATCACTGATAGAGTCAGTGTTATTTATATTACAATTATTGGTGTTATTTATATTACAGTTGATATTTGTATTTGAACAATTATTATTATTTAATGAGTTTATAAAAAACTGTGAGTTAAATATAGTTTCATTGAAAGTTAATACTGGTGTATTATTGCTACTGTTACAGTTATTAATATTAGGATTAATAATTATATTTTTATTATACAAATAATACTATTATTACTAGTATTATTATTATTAATATTACAATTCTTATTCCAATTATTAT